GGAGCATCTATGTTACGAAAATTATGATATTCAAATTGATGACGATATAAATGTTCATTATCACAATAATGAAGTATTACTGCTAGATAATGATTATGATCATTAGTATTGCATGGCATAATGGGCTACATAGAACACAATATGATATAGCAGCATTGTTGTATAGTCAACATGGGTGATTGTATGACGGCTAGGAGCCAGAACAGTTAAAGTGCATATTCTGCATGTATAGTGCATGGTGTGTGTTGTATGGATAAGTCTCAGTTCATTTTGGTTTGGTGCTGTTGTGAGACGGCTAGCGGAATGACAGCTTTGGGGTTAGCAGAATGAAAGCTTTTGCGAACATACAGGGCTGTGTAACGCTTGCCAGATGGCAGAAGTGTGAAGATGTTGTGTCCGGGGTGGATTGGATCATTGCAGATGTTCCTGGCTTCGCGACTGCAGCAGGTTTGTAGAGTTTCCTCTGGGGTAGGAAGTTGTGAGCCCAGATATCGATATATCACTGAGCTTTATGTTAAACAAAGAATGCTACGAGTTCACACCATAAATTTGTGGCCCCTTAGAAGTGATACATGTAACTTTAATAGTTTACGGAAATTTAAGTGGTGTACATTATTTCAGACATAATTTAAGGTTCACTCAGCATTAGTGACTGTTATAAGAAAATATAACGTAGTGCAAACCCAACAAATAATACATTTTAAAATCAATATTACATCATTTTATATTCCTAGAAAGCAGTACCTTTCTTCAGGGGTTATATAACTGTACTTTTTGGGTTATATATCAAATGCCTTAACTACCACCACTGTTTTTTTTCTAACAGGTCATGTGACATTCAGCCATATCTCAGATTTAGTGTTTGTGCCTGCAGAAATTACTCTAAAGTGTTAAATTCAAGATGATTGTGTAGGATGAATATTTTTGGAGTATGTGGCTGCAAAGAAGGATGATTCATTGTAAGTGCTGGTTGGGAGTGCAAGATAAGATGAATTTGACAGCTTGGCTCATTTAGACTGGCCTACTGTCCAGGTTCCAATCACAGATATGTTTCACATGGTCACTATAGCGACCTGCAGCATGAGGAAAATGTTGTACAACATTTGAAATTCTTGTTAAGGAAAATCTGACTTTTTGACCTTACGAAAAAGACCTGTAATAGTTGAACAGACACTGCAAATATCCATCCGTAACTGCTTATGCAGTACGGGGTTACAATGAGTGTGGAACAAGCACAGGGCATGAGGAGAGAAATACCTTGAATGGGATCATAGTCCATTGCAGGCCACACACTCACACACATTAATGATAATTTGTATGTATTGATTCAATGAACCCCAGAGGAACCCAATGTACATGGAGGAAACTCACTGGAACATGATAAGAAAATGCAAACACACAGTTTACTGAGGACAGGAATCAAATCTGCTACCCTGGAGGCATAAGAGTACAGAGCTGAGCCATCAAATATCCATCCATTCATCTCCTAAGCGCTTATCCTATTGAGGGATTCAGGAGGCCTGGAGCCTATCAGAGGCTGGGCTGCACTCTGGTCAACAATTTGTGTACAAATTGCAAGTTATGCTTTCCCATGACCAAAAAAAGTTATGTAAGAAATTTTAGGTGCAGGACTTTTTATACAATAAGAATATATCTAATCTGATTATTAAAGTACACTTTAAAAATTGCAAAAAAGATCCCAAGAAGGTACCAAAAAAACACACACATTTTAGCAAGGAAAGGAAATCTGAACAAAATAGCTTGCTGTAAGGGAATTAGGTTGTTCATACTTCCCCTGGGCATACTAGGGGCTGGGATGGAAAAAATCAACTTATATGTAGTTGGGAAACAATAAGCAGTTGGATGGACGACAACACAAACTTGTGCATATAGCATATAAGCTGCTGCCATATGTTTTGTTTTGGGGGAAATATATTTGAACAAAGTGTTTGTAAGTAGGTAAGCTATAGTTATGTAAATGTTTTCACATACTTAATAGCTTGGAATTCTGATTAAAATGCGCTCTAAGTTTTTATGTCAGGATGATGCAACACAAATGTTTTCTGTTCATTAAGTTTATTAGCTGAATGTACAATAGCCCTCAGTGTTTAATAACTCAGTATTTGGAATAGTTTTGGTCACCATGAAATGGTCTACAATTCAGTAACTACCACCTCATCCAGGAATAAAATCTTCTAAATCCTTCTCATGCATCACATAAATCCAATCATCACATAAATCCCCCGGACTCTAAGGACCAAAGTTACTCAGTTTTATAACTGGCAAGCGAGTGCAAATCAGGCCTGATTGCTTAAGCAGCTGACCTTAATTATCCCTTAATTTTGGTTGAGTTGGCTAGCATGAAGATTGTCTGTTTAACTTCAGTGCAGTGTAAATGAAAGTAAACTTCATTTATTTTCTTCAGACTTTCATTATTGTAATATTGGTATGCACCTACTGATCTAACTAAATTCATTGTGGAGATTGTGAATAGATGAATGAATTCACATGGGGCAAATGCTGACCCCCCGATATTTCATGCCTGTATACAGGTATCTGTCTTTAAGTGGTACCCCTGTTCCACAGTAGTTTATGTGGTGTACAGTAGGCTGTAATGGAAATGTTACTGGTACTCGGTGAGTAAAAATGGTCAATCATTAACATTCCAGTAAAGATTATTTGAGGAATATTCTTTCAGTGTTTCGACTGAGATGATGTCTCTCTTTTATAGTGGTTCTATAGAAGTATTGTATTATTGCATGGTTTGGAAATCTAAATTTTTCAAATAGGATTAGCCTTGGAAGCTTGCAACATCTCTGGATGGAGTCAGGCCAAGTAGTTGGACATTTATAACAGACAGGGCTCAAGCTATATTTAATTGTCAGATCATCCTCTGAAGATGGAGTCTGTGTTGTTGCCCTCCACATTCTGACTGTTATTTGGCATCGGTACACCAGTATATTGTATGTCCAGAATTGAAAATATTGTACTTGGGATGAAGTGTACTTTTCATGCACTAATGTGATTACTGAATTGGTAATTTTACCTATGGTCAATTTTATCTATTATATCTATTGTATTTTTATCAATTGCATTATCTATATTGTATTGCATTGTGTGTGTTGATGTCGGAAGTTATGTTGTCCTTGTGCTTTGTTGGATGTGAACACTGGTTGCAAAATATTTTCTCTTGAGAGATAATTAAGTTAGTTGAACTCTTGAACCTACTGTAGGGTCATTGCCAAAAGAATCCTTTGGATTTTAAAGATAATAAGTAATGTTATGCAGTTGGTGGGTAGAGATACCACAGGCCTTTGTTTGCAGAGGGATTCTTGGAATATGTTTGCCAACATATGTGTCTTTCCTCTCTTTGATCTTGTCATCTTGACAGTGTTTTTTTTTTCCGTGTACCGACTCCACATGTATAAAAGAAGAACTTCAATCGCAGGATACAAACTGTAAGAATGGTATTTGAAGATAAGTCAGCATTGCACCTGTGCTTCATAGACTGTCAATAGCAGCTAAAGTTGATATTTGTGCATTTGCACTATTTTAGCCATTTTCATCCATTCAATAATAATATTAATACTATTATTATTATTATTGTTATTAATAATAATAATAATAATAATAATTCCCCCACTGGTCTGCCTAGCTGCGTGTGGGGGGTGAAACCCAGAGGCTCACCATGTGTGCTTTCTGCCACCTGCTTCCTTTCACCCTCAAGGCCGCAGTCGTCACTCAGCAACTTAACGAGCTCAGAGGAGAGCATCGCTTCCTGGAGTCCGCCCACAGCCCCATAGGGGTCCGGCCGACAGCGGGCGCTGCCGTAGAGCGATGAGAGGGGCCCAGCGGTCTAGCCCACCTGACAGTACATGAGTCAATTTGCGCTGGGGCTCATCACCACGGGCGGTTAATACGGCACAGTGGGCCCTGAAGCCAGGCCTACGCGACACAGCTCAGCCGCCTGTGATTGGGTGTCACGGGCAGCCCTGTTTTTTTTTTTTTTGTGATTTTGTCCTTTCATATAATCAAATTAAATTGATTAAATTCTCATCCTTACAACCTTCTGCTGGTTCTGTTTAGATTTCTAAATAGCTAGCATATATTAGTAAGACACTTTCTTGCTGCCTATAAGTGACTTAGCAGTTCAGTCGGTCTAGCGTGGGTGCAGGTGCTCCGATTTCTTCCGGCAGTGGACAGGTCTGGAAACTGCCCATAGTCTGTGGCTGTGTGCGTGTACCATGCTGACATCATGTCCAGGGTATCCGCCGGCTTTCCCAGATAGGCTTCCTGGTATAGGTCAGTCTATGTGCTCAGCGCTATGGCTTTAACAGGACAATTTACAAAAGGTTTTTTTGGTGGGATTTAAAAATGTAAAACAAAGTGTTTCATTTACTGTATTGTTTTCCATCTATTGGTCATTTGGACGAGGAGCACTGTGTAAATAAACTAAAAAAGATTACTTTGGCTAGGACAGTAAATGTTAGGATGTGAAGCATTTCAGTTTAAGTCGAGCTTCAGTGTTTTGGGTTTTGTCTGTGGTGATGAGCACAATATTGGGGCTGAATGGAGGCTGATTTTTGTATTGGTCAATGGAGTAATTTGGATGAGGCAACTACTAATTAAATAACCCTTTGCTGTCACACTGGCTGTCTCTGCAGGGACTTGACAAATGGTATTCATTAACATTAATGGATGGTTTATCTGGAAAGACTGATAATCATTCTCATAGGAATTGTTGTTAAATGCCTCAGTAGGTCTGTATTTTATTCTCTGCTGGAGGTGATCTGTGATCTGTCTGCTGTGTTTAAAAGTAAAATGTTATTATAGGGTAAATAATATAAAGAAATATTTCTGTTAATGCAAACTGACTCCCAATGTTTGGGAAGGATTGAACCCTTGTAGCTATTTAATTTTAGTACATTTTGCCTACTGATCTGTTTTCTATATATATTGATGTATATTTTGTCTTCTTCCTGTTTTTTTCCATCTGAAAGGATGGAAAGTCCACCTTCTTCCAATTCGGGGCTTCCATCCAGCAGGAAGCACTGCTGATGCTGAATATCATGGAAGAGTACGACTGGCACATCTTCTCTATCGTGACCAGCAAGTTTCCTGGATACCAGGATTTTATCAGCATCCTGAAGAGCACGGTGGAGAACAGCTTTGTGGGCTGGGATTTACAGAACATCATCACTCTGGACGCCGTGGATGGAGATATAAAAACTCAGGTGCAGCTGAAGAGGATTCAGTCCCCTGTCATTCTGCTCTACTGCTCCAAAGATGAGGCCATATACATCTTGGAAGAAGCTCGCTCCTTGGGCTTGACTGGGTTCGGTAATATATGGATCGTCCCCAGCATGGCAACGGGCAACACAGAGTTCATACCAGAACAGTTTCCTTCCGGAATGATCTCAGTGTCTTATGACGACTGGGACTACCCTCTGGAGATGAGGGTGCGGGATGGCCTAGGGATCATTACCACTGCTGCTGTGTCTATGCTGGAGGAATATGGTGACATCCCAGAAGCCAAAACTAGCTGCTATGGACAACCGGAGAAAACTAAACTACCTCCCAGTGCTTTAAAGAAGTAAGTTCCTCCATTGGTAATTAACACTGGTCCTACTCCCTCTTCCACAATGTGATGAGTACAATATTTCATCTAGTAATATAATATATTATTGCACAAATGTTCCAGTGATCTGGATAAGCAGCTGGAAGATTCTTTGAATGCTTGAATTGTCGTAAAAATAGTTCCAAATTAAATCATACAGAGGAACAATTTGTTGCCTGTTTGATGTTGGACAGTAGTGCAGCCCATATGTGACTGAGCTCGTTAATTAATTATGCTTTGCAGTATCTTAGGGTCCTTTCCTGAGGATTAGGGGTTGTGGGTTTAAATTTCAGCATCGCACTCTGTTCCATGTTCCCGATAGATATCCAAATATACAGGCAGTCTGCCACCTACCTTCCTCTAACATTGGCTTGTCATAGCAAATTATTTACAACTGATGTGTGCACGGTATCAGGGTAGGTAAGGTAATGCACACCACAAGCAACTCAAACTTGTGTTCTGTGGAAATATTAATAAACTGAGCGTAATATTGTTAGAGAAGTTTATATTCTAGTATATTCTTAAAAATAGGCTGGCAGGTGGAAGAGAAAGAGTTGATAAACTGAAATGTCACCCAGGCCCCATACTGGTGTTTGCTGTCAGTCTTTCATCTCCCAGAGCCTTCTGGTATCTCAGAGAACCTGGTCCCCAGGAGAATTGGGCCAGACACGTCATACACTGCCCATCACAGTCTATCAGGCACAGAAATTGTCATGCGAAAGTGAACAGAGCCTGCATCTGGGATGCTAAATTTTCACTTGGGTGCTACTAGTGGTGCATGATTCGCGGCTCTCAGTCCACAGGAACCGCAGCTTATCAGATCCGCCGGTCAGGGCAGCACACCTGTACGGGAGAGACCTCTAGCTCGTGTACATTTTCTTTCGGATACATTTATGGCTTGCATCTGAGCAGCAGAAATGTTTTTCTAAAAGGCACAGAATAAGTAGGCCAGTGTCACAGTGACAAGAATGGCAGATGTATATTGATGACAGTGACTGTACCTGACAGGTAGGGCTACACTAGCAAAATATCTAAAAAATCAGTAAAGAGTACAAATAAACTTATTCATAAATACTTTCATACATAAAACGTAGCAGTCATAATAATTATTTACAGTTAGGCCATTTTATGATTTTGCATTAGCTATTTCTGCAGATCGTGATCAGATTACAGTACAAAGCTTTTTGGCCAACTGTCATATTTTTATTTTATTTTTTTTTTATTTATTTAAACCTTTATTTTACCAGGCAAAGCATTAAGAACAAATTCTTAT